TCATGCGTTTTTTCATTACTTTTTTTGTTCTCACACTGCTTGCCCAGTACAGCAGCTGTTAAATGGCGAACTCAGAACTGGGGAAGGCTATTGGTGTAGCATCTGATTAACAATATTTTTGCAGAAAATTGATATGTCGACTATTTTTAACCTCAGGCAAAGGAAAGATCAAACCCAATCCATATTCGGTTACATATGGCAACCTTTTCTAATTTCAGATGCCTTTGTAGCCTCTGATATTTGGCTGTATTTTTCCTTTATATTGTTGTCTGCCACAGTCTTCCACCCTTTGTGATATTGTGGGATTTTTTTTTTTTTTTAACTGTATGATTGTACCATTAAGAAATACAGTCAGCGAGCTTTCATGTTGACCCTGGGAGCCTACAGTAATTTGCTTGTTGCTTCAGTAAGCGTGTGTTGGCATAGCTCTGTTGACAACAATAGAACAGCTAAAGGTCTGGCTTTTATGCATAACACTTTATAATTCCCTATTGATAGACTAAATCCATTTTTGTACAATTTGTAACATTTTTTTTAATTACATATGCTAGTTACATCTTAAGGCCAATCGGAGAAACAGACTGTAAATTAGAATAGTTGGGTGATCTGAGCCCCAGGTCTGTTGCAACGCGGTTTTCTCACAACTTGGAAGGTAACAGCCGATATAACGCTATAGAAATAGGTGATTATTCTTTCTTTCTCTTTCTTTCTGTCTGTCTTTTTTCAGGGAACTGAGTAGATGAATGTACCTTAAAGTTTTAATTTTCTAGGTAATTAGGAGAAGTAGATTGTATAAGGTGGAAAGGAAAGTTAATAAACCATGTGGTCCTGGATAGGTCACGCTAACAGTCAGGATGTCGCTGTGAGGACAGGAAATCCTTATATTAGAAGCATCATTTTAGTCTTTAATTTAATCTATAAACCAGAATCAAAAATGCTTGCATACACCTGTAAGAATATTTCAGTGGGGCTGTGAACTGCGTGAAAGACACAAGCATACTGACAAGAGACTTGTTTGTCTTAGTGCATTTTCTTGCCACCTTCAAAATAATCCATGGTATTCTTGGAGGTTGAGAAGACAAGGCTCCAAAATCTCTGAATTAGACAAAATGCTGTATTTTGTAAACAGACACAAGTGAACTCCAAACTGAACTTAATAGGGTGAATTATCATCTGCTTTGGATGAGGGGAAGTCCAACACCCAACACATTGGGCTTGGAGCTACTGAGTTTAGATCAATGGCAGATCTGACCCACAGATTTGTCCTTCTTCACACTGGAGAAAAATACATATTGAATTAGAAGGTGCACACCCTCCTCCCTTGGTGGCCACCACTATGTAGCTAAATATTTGCTTTTTAAATTCAGGGGAGGAGGAACAAGCTAATCTCATAAAGGTTCACCCCACCCTCTGCTTGGCTTCTCTTCCTTGGCAAGCCTTCCCAGCAGCAGCTGGCTGACTGTTTTTCTTCTGCAATTGTGTTCATGACATTTCCTGCAACTAGGTTTTCCTGAAGGTTTCCAGCAGTCCTTTCAGCCCCCTACCCCCCTTTTTTGGCCTCTTCACCCACTAACCATGGCCTTGTGCCTAGTTCCCAGCAGTGTAAGTACCGTATCCCCATCACACATCCATGCATATCCTCTATATGCTCTCAACACACACAACGAGTTTCTGTGGTTTGCTTCTAAGTCTGACTAATTTACTGAGAGTCAGTGGTTAGTGTAAGGGGCGCTGAACAGCCATGATACAAACAGAGACAGTCCTGCCTCAAGATACCTGCTCCATCAGAGAGACATGGAGTTTGCACTGTTTCTCAGTGACAAGAGGTTGCTGTCCTCTTTTAATGTAATTCTTTTTTGAAGAAGCTGCACGTACCCCTCTCCATGCAGAAGGACTGATATAAAGAACCTAGATTAGGGAGAACTGATGCACAGATCCTGGATTACTTAGCGTGCTGGTACTTTTCCTCTCCACGCTACTGAAAGCTGCATAAACTGTCCTTTCACAGGCTTTTATAAACACTCAAGTGACTTAATCTTTTAGCGTAAAAGCCTACTTGTATATTAAGCTTTCTGTTACCGATGTCATTAAATCAATATCCTCAGTGCTACAGGATCCAAGTCACATATAAGCTGTCACACGCAGTTTAACTTAAGAAATGCAGTATTGAGGTACAGTCAGTTCATTTTTCATAGATTAGAGAGTACTTTGAAGTAGAGCTGTTGAAGATCAGAGAGGGTTTATTCCTCATTGTAGCCAGTTTCTCATGTGTTGGGGGGCTTTCTGTTCTAATGACAGTTTTGTTGCAGAACTTCAATGAAGTCTGAGAAGATGAGTGTTTTATGCAGTTACCATAAATGGCACTGAAAAGCCTTGTGAGGCCTATGTCGTGTGTGTTAAAACACAGGACATGTTCTTTAAGAGAATTAGATAGGCAAATTGGTATGGACCCTTCTTGTATACACATTATTTATCTATTCTTTTTCCACGTGGGTACGCATACAATTCTAGACAGCTCAGAGACTGTATAGCCTCACTTGGTGTATTCCTTGTCTAATGAGTGTCATCTGTGTTTAGAGTTAAAGATGGAGAAAAACAATAATTTGTCTCTTGCCAGAGATACTTCATTGAGGGTAAAACATACATCTGGGATTTAGTTGTGTAAAAAGATACACAACTGAAGTGCTATGTCTTCTTCCAACCTGGCCCTGGGGTGCCCTTTCCATTTAGTGTATTAAGAATCAAGATTTATCTAGAGATATCTTACAAATCAGAAATGACAGTTATTGTACGATCTTAGCTGTTATTACAGCAGACCTTTCTCTCTCTCTCTTTTTTTTTTTTTAGCCACTCTTTGTCTGTCATACAAGTGAAATAATTTGTAATACAAACTGACTATGGATTCTTTCAGTTGCTTACTTCAGGAAAGCTATAGACATGATGGACATAACATTATACAGCGTAATGGGCAAACATTATGCTACATGCCCTTGCTGCTGGTAAAACAGAATGAACTCTGCCAACAAAACTTTAAATTAAGTGAAGTTGCAAAAGGCAGTTTTCCAGCCGTGGGTTATGGATCATTAGTCTCCTGCAGTTTCTGAACTAGTGCTCTTCAAGAATACTGGGAGCAGCAAGAGGTGGGATTGAGGGAAGGAAGCAGTTTCTGAAAGACACTCCATATTTCACCGGTGGTCTGTGGTTTGGAAGGTGTGCAGGACCCCTGCTGTTGTTAAAGGTGAGGCTCATGGTGGGGCGCTTTCTGAAAGGAACGGGAAGTTCAGAGTCGATGGATCTAGCAGGGAACACACCAGTTTGATCCTGAAGCCTTGCACAGGGCCTTCACAGGGCAGCCAGCGATGAGGAAGGGCTTTCACGGATGAGGAAGGACTCCTCTGTATTAATTAATGTCATATAATTGGTTTTACTACATCTGTCTCACCACACCTGGAAAGAACATGGCATGAGCAGATTGGGGGTTATATCAGTGAGATATTTCCTGGTGATGGGGGATGTGACTCTTGTCCCATTGCCACTTCCCAGTGTGGCACACTTGTGAGAGCGTGAGGTTTTACCGTTTGCTTTGCTCCCCTTGTGGGAAAAGGCTACAGGATGTCACCAGAGTTGAAGGGGAAAATAGAGACCCTTGGCAGATAAGTGGCAGTCTTTCCTCTTCAGAAAGCTCTGCTTCTGTGAGTACCTGACCTGCAATCTCAGCTGTTTCTATGATGAAGGCTTAGGGAAAACAGGGTGAGTCAAGGAACTAGAAATTTTGTCCAGGGATGTTGCTCAAGCAGATAAGAAAATTCCATTTATGTTATCCAGAGATGTGAGTTAAGAAGAAGTAAATGGCCTTATCTACAGCATAGCTACTTGAAGTGTGTGGAAATCCAGTACGAATGTGTGAATGTCCTGGGTTAGGCAGAAATGCTTTATTATTGCTAGTAAGGAGGGAACTGTGCTACCTCGTGCCTGACACTCGTCGGACTTGTGGGAGAGGAGAAGGAGAATTGCATCAGGGACTTCTTGTACTTAGGTTGAGTTTCAGCGTGATGAGGCGGTGGGGTTTTTTTTCTTTCTCTAAAACAAGGAAAGCAATACTTGGTTATCTTTCGGCTTGACAGCATTGTGTTGCAATAATCCGAGGGCTGTTAATTCACCAGTGATTTGTTTATGTTGAAGACTCTTGTAATTAAAAAATTGCCTTAAGGTAGGTTCTAACACAATGTGGACTTTGGGGATTTGTGTATTAGAAAGGGTTGAACAGATCCTGGCAGTCCTCTAGTTTGCATATTTTGTCTATAAGAAACTATTACTTCACTCCAATATAATTTGAATTATTTTGTCATGAAACTGGTGTAACAGAGTGGAGAATGGGGTCTCAAAGCTTCCTGAATGGAGGAGATTGAGTTAGTGGCTAAATCTGTTTATGGAAGATAGAACTTATGTCATTATAACGCTAAGGTGTGTTAAAATAAAATCTTGAATTATGGCATTGCTCTTTTGGTTTGATTGTATTTTTTAAAATAATCACTATTGTGGAAAGAAAATGTCTGTGAGTTGGTCATTGTAATGCACATATTTCAGCATTATTAATCCTAAAATGTGAGATTCTTATTACCCAATGAGAACAAAACCCAACAAAGCCAAACATATGCTGAAGAATAACGCCCCAATCCTGCAAAAATTAACACATATATTTGTGCTTATATACAATAAATAATCCTGGTGTGCTGTTTACTTAAATGGGACACAGATTTCTCACTCAAAGTAACATGAGTTTATCCCAGTGTGTAAATTTATGACTGAATACCAGCCTTCGCATGTTTGGAGTTTGTGTTAAAGCCACAAAGACTGACAAAATTTGCTTTCAGTTATGGTGTGTTAATCTAGAATAAATCTATTGAAGTTATTATAACAACGAGAATTTAAAGCAGTTGAATAGTGGAATTTAGTCCTTTTTAACTGTTCCTTCAGGGTTTATATTTTCTTTCTTGCAGACTCCCAGACAATACAGCCAAGCACTAAATAAGAGTAACAGAGTTCATCTTTACTGTGCATTTCTGGACTATAGGTATGTTACGTAATTTCAAACTCTTTCACTTGGTTTAATTAAATTACCCTTAGTGTGTGATGCTATATATTACCTATATTCTTCTTGTTCTCTTTCATTCATGGAAATAGCTAAACAAATGGAGCCACTGGTTTACAAAACCCACAATCTCATAGTGGCTTCTTACCATAAATAGGAGACTTGTTATTCGCGGACCCTGTGTTAGGTAGGTAACTGAGAGACTGAAAAATTTTGGAATCAAAACTGCAGACTGATACAAATCGTGCTTATCTTGGTTTATGAGTATGTCCACTTGGGCAGATGCTTGGATGTTTTAAGATGGCAAACCTCCAGCAGAGCCATTGTTTTCGCTGGATCTGTGCCTGTGTCACAACACCATGTGAGATCAGTATTTCATAGCTGTGAATTTTGGCCAATGCATGGAATGGAGAAATATTATGTCCCTGAATGAAAATTAGAATAAGAGGGGCATAAATGTCACCTTAAATTTCACTCAGAAAATAGGAACTATGAAAAAGCAGTAGCTGGTTTTTTTTTAGCTCTGAATATATTTCATCTGTTTTTGATTTCCAAACATGCTGCTCTTACTGAATCAATTGAGAAAGAATACAAATAGTGAATTTGAATTTCATGGGGATTAACAGTTTTTGAGCCGTAACGGTATAAGCCTAATTGATGTAGCAATGGCCCGCAATGCTGTGATCCCTCCTATCCGGCATGCACATGGGAAGGTCACTGTAATTGTTTTATTGAAGTTTTGTTTCAAGTATGTTGAACTGTCCCAGCTGTTGGCAGTTACTCGTTGTTATGGTTACTCACAAATTACGATAAATTAGAAACAGATTTTACTGAAGCGAATTAATACGGCTGGGGCATTGTTCCTGTACTGTTTTCCGTTGGGGCTCGGGCCCTTGAGGCTTTGCCTCAGGATAGAAACTGAAGTATGAAATCTGTCCTTCCAAATGAGTTTTATTTGTGTCAAGATGGTCTTATTCCCTAGTGCATGGTAGTTAAAGAATAAGCAATTTGTTTCTGACCTATGATACTCTCCTTGAGAACTCAAGGAGGTCCCAAAGGACAGAGGAAGGGTGAGGTAATACCTATCTCTAAAATAAGCACCAAGAAAAATACAGATCGCTCAGTCTAGCTTCAGGACCAGAATAATATCAAAAGTCATAAATGGTTAAGAAGCAGGCAGTTTGGGTGGGTGACCTACGGTGCCTGAGCCCATGGAGCCCCCCCCAGATGTGTGGCTGTGGCTTCTATGTCCCCGCTCAGCTGCAGGGCTGTGGTGGCACAGGGGTTTCTGGGTTCCCCTGGCTCCAGGAAGAAGCAGGCTCATGAGGGTCACTTTCCTGCGCAGCGCTGGGACCAGGCCACTCAGCCAGCCCAGCCATATCCTCAGCGGAGCAGGAGCTGCTCTTGCTGGCCCTGAGGATGAAGTGACAAAAACCAATTGACATGGATGGGTCACGAGAAATCATGCTCAGTCAGTCTGAAGTGCTTACTTTGACAGGATGAGTGGGACAGCGGATAAGGGAGAGGCAGCAGATATGATACGCTGACTTTTTTGACTTTTGCAAGATTATTGACTTGCCTGATACTATAGTTCTCAGAATATAGAAATGTGGGTCTGGGTGAAATGCCATAAATGGGTTGCACAATGTAAAGAAAAAATGCAGTTATTGTTCATTGTGAAGAAATCTCTAGAGACATTCATGTAGGGGTCTGATCTGGGCCCTGTTCCGGTCAGTATTTTCCTTAACTATTTGCAAGATGGAATTGAGAAGACACTAGCAGTGTTTGCAGATGCTCCAGCCTGAGGTGGCTTTCAAACCTTTTTATCTCCTGTACAGTACAATGCATGTCAAATTAACCTGATAAGATGCATTTTGATAGCGATTATGTTCCATTTTTGTGTGCTTTGCAGCAATGGAACTGGTGTTTGGTCTAATGAAGGTTGTGTGCGTGAGAGTGGGGACCTCAACTACTCAGTGTGTCTTTGTAACCACCTCACTAACTTCGCCATTCTGATGCAAGTGGTGCCTCTGAAGGTGAGATTAAGCAAAGGAGTAAATCTGTCTGTTAAAAATGAAGCATAAATACATCAGTTGCATCCTCACACCACATCAGTAAGTGATTGAAACTGGGCTCATTTTTGCCCAACTCAGATTTATTCCACATCTTGCTTTCTGGGATGATGTTTTAATACTACTTGACTATATTTATTTTTTAAAACTTTTGGGAACTGAAATAGAGCATGAAATGAAACACATCTGTGGTAGGTGGGAATTCTGTTTACTTTATTCTCACCCTTTTGTCACAATTTCTTAAAGTACTAGGCAGGAAAAGCACTGCCTGGAGGAGGACGTTGTACAGATGACCCTGGGTTTTATGATTAGTTTTCAAGACAGAGACAGCTGAGATGTGGCTGTTTAAGGGTTTTGGTAACTAGACTTGTGGAATATGAACAGCCGAGCTTGAACTTCATGTGGAGCAAGCTCTGCTGCCAGCTGGCCCCTACCATTGTCTCTGCCAGCTTTCCAAGTGCCTCCCTGCTGCTGTTTCTTCACCTTGTTGCCAAGCAGGGGCTTGTGTAGAAGGAGCATGAGAAAGAAAATGATGCTTTAGAGTTGAAAGTGAACCCCTTATGTATAGTTTTCTCTATGCTCAGTTCCTTTGTCCCAAGAGTTATCAAGCAAGCCTCTCCTCAGCTGGAATATGACACTTTCCCTGTTTACCCAGGACCTTATGCTTGCTGTTCGTACTCATCACTGGTTTCAGATGAAGCTTTGATGGCAAACGCGTTGCTCTCCTCACTAGACGTGTTCTTCTCTTCATGATACCTTATGATGCCTTGAGATTTCCTCAGAGATGGAGCAGAGCGTCTGCTCCTTGCAGATGAAGTGCTGGTTTGTGCTTGCTGAAGGACTCTCTCTACAAAACTCAGCACCAGGCAAGGTCAACCCCATCCTGGATCTTAGCAGACAGCCAGCACTGCCATGAGCATGAGAAATATGTTTTTACTGGTTTATTTGGGTGTGCTACTGTCAGAGAGGATCCAGTGGAGGTAGTGATGAAGTCCTGTTCAGACATCCCTCGGTTAATAAATAATGAATGTATAATAGGAATAATTTATGAACCATGCATTTAAAGAAATGTATACTAATTGCCTGTCAAATTTATACTCTCTGGCACATTCTCAGCTTTCAACAGACACCATCCTAATAATATAAATTAACAAACTGAAGAAGAGCTTCAGTAGGACAGTAGGAGTCCTACTGTCACATTTACACTGTGTGCTGCTAACAAGCGTGGTGTCCTCTGTGGTACAGCTAGAGGGGTTTTGTCAGCTCTGTTGGCGTGGATGCATTGACTATATGGCCGTGTCTCAGGCTCCTGTTAATTGGTTTGAATGATAGGTTTGCTCTTCTTTTAGGCAGTAGCTTTGCCGAGACAGCTACTGCTGCAGGATGGGCTGCATGTGCTCATGAGGGCGGCACAGAGGTTCCTGCAGATAGATACAGAGGTGAGCTTGCAGCGTAAGGGAACTCTTACCAGGGTTCTACCACTGAGCACCTCCAAAGCCTTTTCAAGGAGCGAAGCATCCCAGGCTGCTATTGGGAGTTACTGATTCAGTAACACTGTTAGCACAACTACTCACACGGTAATCCTGGTTAGACGGCGTAATGTCATTGAAGTCAGGGTCCCAGTTTAGAACGAGATGGTCTGCTGTCCAAAGAGCTTAATTAATACCCACAGCCTTTTGTATTAGTCTAACCATTTGAAGATGGGGGTATCTTGTTCAGGTCACCCAGTTTTTATCTAACCATTATTATCTTTATTGCTTGTAAAGCATCTAATGACCCCAGCTGGTTTCCAAGTATTATTTTTCTAGGAACTCTTCATACTCGTGATAAAATGCAGCTTTGCCTGAAGAGCTTCCCATCTTGTGAGGCAAAAGTAGAATGGGAGAAATGCGCTATCATTAACCCTGTTTTAAAGAGCAGCATACAGGGATTTAGCCAGGATTAAAAAGGATGTCCACCAATTAAATGACGGTAAAAGATTAGTTGATTTTCCACTGGGGAATAGTTCTGAAAGATCTAACTTTCAAATAAACAGATTTGAGATTGTCATGACTTATGAGATGCTGCAATAAGTTCTAATATTATGCAATATTAGTAATTTGAGATCAAAGATATTTTATATCAAAGTCTTTGGAATCAAGCTTTCCTAAAGAGATCTGAAATGCATAACTAAGAAAGGCTGGATGTGAATGGACTGTCCAGTTCCTCACAGTCATTTAATGGCTCTATTTTCAGTATTTTCTCCCTTCTTAACTTTTTGGTCTAATGCATTTGCATCTGCCAAAGTTTGCATGGAATGTTTTTGCATTGCTTTTTTTTTCTTTCAATAATTTAGAAAACAAAATGAAAGTGCTGCTGAGATATTACGTGGATGTGTGAGACACAAAGACCTAGTCACTCTGATGCATAAAAACACTCCCTATGTGACATAGTACTGTAAAAGTTGCTATAAAATAGGTTTTTTTTTTTTAAGTGAAACTTAATTCCCATAATTTTCTGTTGTATTTTGACCCCTTCTACCTAAAGTCCCATTTCTGAACAGAAAAAAGAAGGGGATTTATAAATTAGTGGCAGGAAAAGTGAAATGCTGAAAGTTGATAGAGGTATTTCCAGTATAGAGTCCGTATGTTCCTAGTACAAATCCATGAGAATTCGAAATGCTTGCTTCAGCTTTCAGTGGAAGATTGTGCAGGCTAGGTAGAAAATATGCATTCACTTCTAACCTCTTAAAGTTCACTGAAAAATAATTTTTGCATGCACCTCAGTTGGCAGAATTTATAAATGCATTGTGGCATGGAGAAATTCAGGTTCGCTGGTCTGCAGAGCAATGAACCTGAACTATGCCTCGACACGGCTGCTTTGCCGTGCCCTCCCATCACCCGTACAAGCTTGATGTTACAGGGAGGCGGCAATGAGAGTGGGCCCATGTGGGGTCTCAGGTAATATTGCCGCTAACAAGCCAATGAAGGATGTCATCCCTTCAATATGCTTTAATTCCAGTTCCTCTCGTTTGGCTATTATGTAGTCCCTCTCTCAGAGTTCATCAGAAGATCTCACCCCAAATCTTTGACCAAGATATACCCTTTAAATTGACTGTTTGGGGTTATCTTGTGGTAGTAATTTTTTTAACCAGTGAAAAAAATTGGTATCTTCATTGTGTAACTGGCATGAAGTCAAGATCTGAGCAAAGACAAGCTGCCTGGTTTTTGAGCTATACAAGCAGACTATGCTCAGTTACGAATTCCTAAAACATTTGCTAAGTATTTGCTTCATGTGTATAAGCAATAGAGCCTACTGAATCAACTAGACAGTTGGAAACTTGTCCCAGGCGTCCTTGGAACCCTGTTAAGTAAATGTTAAAATGCTGTGGATTTTAAACACATATACATGTTTATTCACCATGTTCTGAAATTCATGAGCCGAGGTTCAAAGGGCCCATATAAATCACCCGTTGGAATACCAGGTTGTCAATGCCCTAAGAAATTGATGCAATGGTATTTTATTTGATCTTGAACTTTTGTATATTTTATTTTTCTTTTCATAAATGAAGTTCACAGGAAATATGAGAGAAGATAAAGAGAGGGTGGGAGTATGCCATTGCCCACATTTGAACAGTTCTTTTTATATATTTATTATATAACTGTGGCCATACAAATAGAACTGGATGAAATTTTTCCACATGAACACTATTTTTGACAGAATGTTTATTTTTTGTCTAGATTCTGTTTCTTACAAAAAGGGGTCTGCTTTTCATGAAAAATGTAAATAAATTACTGGAAATGGATTGCCTGAAAACTGGCAAAAACTGAAAAACTGAATACTACATCAAAAGCTGGATTTTGGTACAAAAATGTGACTTCATGGGAATTCTACTTTGGGTGCTTTATACTTCCATTCTCCTATGGAAAGTATCGTTTCCCTTTCTCTCCATCGTACGGATAAATGCAGCTCTCAGGATAGCACAGCCAGGCAGATGTTCTCTCCAAGGGCACCGTAATAGCCTTTAACCTAATGCACCACTCAGCAGAACAGTAAAACCAGGTATGAATAGTTCTACCACCCCTTGCAGAAAGGCAGGCAGGTGCAATAAAAAAAAAAAGAGGGGGATGTCGACAATTCTAAAGAGATGTAATACAGACCGGTATGTATGCAGCAGCTTCAGACCTGAGAGAACATCCCTAGGGAGAACACTGTTGATGTGGAAATCCATGAACTCTTGAAATCCAAGAACTCAGCTCCTCTTCACGAGATTGATTTTCTTTTTGCTTAAAAAAACCCAACAAACAAACCATAAGCTTTCCATTAATGAGACATTGCAGTTTTTTAAAGAGGTTGCTGTTCACAACCGGAGCGTATGGCATACCCTCTGAGTTCAGTAAAAGCCAAGGTGTCTCTAAGCAACAAGTACTGAAAATAAGTGACCTTCCTCAGAAGTAACTTGCCACATAAATGACCAGAGAGCTGAGCTTGTATAACTATTTGTCAAGGATGGTGACTTTTTCTTCTGAGTTATGCTAATTTGAGCAAGAATCTCCTCGCTTAACTCCCTTTCTTTGTTCCTTCACATGGTTAAGTCTAGCTTTTTCCACTTACAGAACAATAGCGTGATCCAGACCTTGTCAGCTTTGACGCACTGGGAACCTGCCCCAGTGCCTCCCTTCCTGCTAGTACTGGTCCAGCTCATTTTCACACCTTCACCAATATGCAGCACATCTCTCTATATATTTACACAGTTTGTGCATTTCTTGTGGGCATAAATGCCTTTATGTATTCTCAAGATTCTTTAGCATTGCAATTTTATTATAAGGTACGGAACTATGTTAATAATTTATGCACCTGGCTTGGGGAGGAATTACAGTGTCTCACATGGATTTCATTTTGTTTCAGTGAGACGTTCATAGCAACAAAATTGTAGGATATCTTGCATCTGACGGTGCTTTCTCTTGAATACTTGAAGTATTGTG